AGGGGATCTAGACTACAAGAGTAGGTAGAAAACTATCTAAGATAATTACAAAAAAATAGAGAAAACAATGGAGAATTTCAACACATCATTAAAATTTAGCAAAGTTATACCAATATCTCACAAAGTAGACATCAAGGCAATACATACTACTAGACACAAAAAGAAACATTTAATTGTAAGAGAAAAAATCCAGAAGGAAGATGCAAATCTGTATGCAAGCTAAAACTAAAACTGGAACTTCCATATATCCAGTAATTCTACTTCTAGGTACATGACCGAAGGAAACAAAATCACAATGTCACAGAGGTATCTGCATACCTATGTTTACTGTAGCATTATTTACAATACCCAAAACATGGGAACAACCTAACTGTCCACTGATAGAAAAATGGATAAAGAAAACACAGACACATTTATATACACAATGGAATACTTTTCACCCATTAAAAAAGAAAACAACATGGATAGATCTTGAGGGCATTAAGCTAAGAGAAATAAGTCAGACAGAAAAACACAAATACTGGGTGATCTCACTTATATGTGACATCTTTAAAAAAAAAAAACTGAATTCATAGATACAGAGACAGCCTGGTGGTTGACATAGGTGGTGGGTGAAATGACTGAAGGTCAAAAGGTATGGACTTCCAGTTAGAAAATAAATAATTAATACAGATGTCATGTACAGCATAGTGACTTAGTTAATAATATTGAACAGTTGATTCTTGAACAATTTGGGGGTTAGGGGCACCGACTCCCCCCACAACAGAGTCAGAAACCTACCTATAACTTTACAGCTAGCCCTCCATATCTGCAGTTCCACACTCACAGATTCAACTGACTGCATACTGTATAGCACTGTAGTACATATTCATTGAAAAAGAAAAAAAAAACCCACATATAAGGACCTGTGTTGTTCAAAGGTCAGTGCTATTGTATATTTGAAAGTTGCTAAAGAGCAATAAATTTTCAAAGTTACCATCACAAGAAAAAAAAAATATAACTATGTGTGGTTATGGATGTTAACTATTAATTAGACTTGTTGTGGTGATGCTTTCATAATACATACATATCTAATAATTACGTTCTACACCTGAAACTAATATAATGTTATACGTCAATTATACCTCCATAAAAAATACTAAAAAGAATTCTTTATCCAGGAGGAAAATTATTCTAGACAGAAGGATAGAAATGCAGGAGGGAAGGAATGAAGAACCCTGGGAATAATAATTATTTCTGTATGTATAAAAATACTGCTTTAAGAATAACAAAAAAGTTTGTCACATTTAAATATAGAGTTAAAGTGCATTATAACAATAACACAGCCAAGTGAAAGGGAAGAAAATGCATTAAAGAGTTTTAGATCCTCACAATATAAGAAATTGGTAAAGGTAACAACATAGGTTTTGCCATACGTATGGCAAATGTATTACAACATTGTAATCTCTAAAAGAATAGTAAAAAAAAAAGTATACCTAACAAATCAAGAGAAAGAAAAATATAGTAAAACTGTGTGACTAATTCTAATAAAGGCATATGAAAAGAAAAAATACAAAATTAGTGAAATAAATAGAAAACATATAGCAAGATGGTAGGTATAAAACTAAATATACTGGGTCATGTCAATGAAAATGGCAATCAGAAGTCCCTAAAATTCTCCCCTCCATAACAGCAACAAGAAAACTGACCCCAAAAAAGTCAGGCAGTTGCACTTTTTTATACTAACAACAGCAGGAAAAGAAAGTAAAGAAACAATCCCTTTAAAAATTGCATCCAAAACAATAAATACTGAGGAATAAATCGGACCAAAGAGGTGAAAGACTTATACAAGGAGAACCATGAAATACTGATTAAGGAAATTAAAGATGACTTAGAGAACTGAAAAAAAATATCATATGTTCTTGGACTGGAAGAATCAATATCGTTAAAATGGTGATAGTGCCCAAGGCAATCTACAGATTTAATGTGATCCCTATCAAATTACCCAGGACATTTTTCACGGAACCTAGAACAAATAATCCTAAAATTTACATAGAATCACAAAAGAGCCAGAACTGCTAAAGCGATATTGAAGAAAAGGAAAAAAGCTGGAGGATTAACCCTCCTAGACTTCAGACAATAGTACAGAGCTACAGAAATCAAAACAGTGTAGTACTGACATAAAAGCAGACAGACAGATCAATGGAACAGAACAGAGCCCAGAAATAAACCCACAGACCTATGATCAATTAATCTTTGACAAAGGGGGCAAGAATATACAATGGAGTGAAAACAGTCTCTTCAGCAAGTGGTGTTGGAAAAGCTGTATAGTTGCATGTAAGTCAACGAAGTCAGAACACTTCACACCACACACAAAAATAAACTCAAAATGGCTTAAAGACTTCAACATATAAGAAAAGACACAATAAACCTCCTAGAAGAAAACATAGGCAAACATTCTCTGGTTTAAATCTTAGCTGTGTTCTCCTAGGGCAGTCTATCCAGGCAATAGAAATAAGAGCAAAAATAAACAAATTGGACCTAATTACACTTACAAGCTTTGGCATAGAAAGGAAACTGTTTAAGTAAAACAAAACAACAACCTACGGAATGGGAGAAAATGCTTGCAAATGATGCAACTGACAAAGGTTTAATTTCCAGAACATATAAACAGCTCATACAACAACAACAACAAAAACCCAATCCGAAAATGGGCAGAAGACCTAAACAAGCAATTCTCCAATGAACACATACAAATGGCCAATAGGCACATGAAAAAATGCTCAATATCACTATCAGAATAATGAAAATCAAAACTACAATAAGGTATCACCTAACACCAGTCAGAATGGCCATCATTCAAAAATCCACAAATGATAAATGCTGGAGAGGCTATAGAGAAGAAAACCCTCCTACACTGTTGGTGGCAATGTAGTTTGGAGCAGCTGTTACGGAAAACAGTATGAGGAGTCCTCAAAAAACTAAAAATAGACTTACTATATGATCCAGCAATCTCACTCCTGGGCATATATCTGTAGGGAACTCTAATTCAAAAAGATAGAGCACCCCAATGTTCATAGAAGCACTATATACAATAGCCAAGACATGGAAGCAACCTAAATGTCCATCGACAGATGACTAGATAAAGAAGTTCTGGTATATTTATACAATGGAATACTACTCAGTCACAAAAAAGAATAAAATAATGACACTTACAGCAACACAGATGGACCTACAGATCGTCATTCTAAGTGAAGCCAGAAAGAGAAAGAAAAATACCTTATGATATCACTCATATGTGGAATATAAAAAAAAGGAAAAAAAGAGGGCACTAATGAACTCATCTACAAAACAGGAACAGACTCGCAGACAGATAGTAAACAATCTTATGTTTACCGGGGGAAAGGGGGTGGGAAGGATAAATTTGAGTGATATTTGCAAATGTTAACCACTGTATATAAAACTAGATATAAAAAATCAAATTTCTTCCGTATAGCATAGGGAACTATATTCAATACTTTGTAATAATCTTTTACAAAAAAAGAGTATGAAAACAAATATATGTATGTATATGCATGACTGGGACATTGCGCAGTACACCAGAAA